GGGTTTAGGGTTTGGGGTTTGGGGATCAAGGCCGTAGGTCCCTTAGGTGTTTCGTTTTGTTTCTTGTCGAGGCGCTTGTTTGTTTTAGGTTTGTTCGGTTTCATCGGGTGTTTAATTGGGGAGTAAAACAGGGTTCTGGCAAGGGGTGGGTTTAGAGTTTGTACAACCATTTGCAACGGGTTGGTTGTAGCTTTCTGGGAGCTGGCGGTTTGGGCTTTCAGGGTGAAGGGTCTGAGCTCAGGGCTTTAAGGCATCCCAAACCGTCAAGCCGTCATTTGGGTGCGTTCCAGGGAGGCGTGGTTAGGGTTGGGGTTTAGGTTTGAGGGTTTTGGGTGTGCATGGGCTGCTTCCGTCTCCATGCCTTATACAGTATGCTTTGCCGCAGGTGCGCAAAGTCCCCCGACTGCAGCCCTTGCACGCTGGCTCACCAGGGCTGTGGCAATAAGAGAAGCCACGACCACAAGCACTACCAGACCAGCACTACCATCAACAGCATGAGATCAATTCTCAAAGTCAACATGTCGACGTACGCACACATGCCGCGGCCAGAAGCCGAAATAATCGGATCGCTCAACAACACTACAGGGAGTAAAGGACCAAGAGAGCCATTGTGCTCGTGAAGATAAAAACTGACTCACCCTGCATTCAACAGCTGAACGCTGAACAGCAAGCACTGGATTGTCCAGGCAGCGAAGTACAATTTAGTGTGTAGGGCCGTAGGGTTCAAGGTAGTTTGAAGCAGTAGTTTATGGGTTTAGGGGTTTAGGGTTTAGGGTTTAGGGGTTTAGGGTTTAGGGTTTAGGTTTCAAGGTAGTTTGAAGCAGTAGTTGGCTAAACTTGTGTCACCAGCTCGCGAAGAAGCGAGATGTACAACGCAAATGATGTGTGCTCGCGTACTGAACTTGCGCATGAAGCTGTAACCATCACTTGTGTCCTTTCGACCGCGCTTTCCATTGCTACAAGAGCAAAACAACAGCAGCAGGAAGGGCAGGAATGATGCAACGACAAAACACAACAGCCAAAATGAGAAGGCAGCGACATCGAAACGATAACAGTGCCACATACAGTGGCAGCCACGGCAACGGCAACACTGAGAGCGCTGCTTCCCTAAACCCTGAATGCCATCCACAGCTGTCTGAGCTTGCTTGATCCTAAAACCCTACACCCTCTACTCCCAAGACCCTAGACCCTAAGCCCTAGACCCTAGACCCTAAACCCTAAACCCTAAACCCCTAAACCCATAAACCTGTAGACCCTAGACCCTAAACCCTTAACCCCAAACCCCTAAACCCCTAAACCCCTGAACCCTAAACCCCTAAACCCTAAACCCTCTACCCCGAACCCCTAAACCCGAAACCCCTAAACCCATAAACCCGTAAACCCTAAACCCATAAACAGCTAAACGGCTTCCTGAGGCCCCGGAGGAGCTTCGCCCAAACCCCCAAAAAAGCCCGAAACCCCGAAAGCCCTAGGCCTCTAGTGTTGAGGGTTTAAAGGGGTTTAGGGGTTCAGGGGTTTAGGGGTTTAGGGTTTAGGGTTTAGGCGGTTTAGTAGGACACCGTCTAGAAAGCCTGTCAGGAACCCTTCAGCCCGAAATCCTAAACCCCTCAACTCCCATAGAACCCTTGTCGTAGACTCTTATAGAAAAAACCCTAAACCCTAAACCCTGAACCCTTTATAAGGAGCCCTAAGAGCCTAAGAGGGTCTTTAAACAGCCCTTCAAGGAGCCCGTTTGGGGTTTGGGGTTTAGGGGTTTGGGGTCTAGGGTTCCCGAAAACGGCTTAGGGTTTAGGGTTCCCGAAAACGGTGTAGGGTTTAGGGTTTAGGGTTTAGGGTTTAGGGCTTAGGGTTTAGGGTTTAGGGCTTAGGGTTTAGGGTTACAAAAGCCTTCCTTGAGGTGGAGGAGCTGGGCCGGAGCCTGCGGGAGCTCTCCCGTCGTCTCTGCGATCGCCTGAACTTCTGCCAGCCGCTGCCGCAGATGCCCAAGGCATGGGGCTGACACCAAGGTTTAGGGTTTAGGGTTTAGGGTTTAGGGTTTCGGTCCTTTCGGGTTTAGGGTTTAGGCACGGGGCTGACACCAAGGTGTAGGTCCTTTAGGGGTTTAGGGTTTAGGGTTTAGGTCCTTTGGGGTTTAGGGTTTCGGTCCTTTCGGGATTAGGGTTTAGGCACGGGGCTGACACCAAGGTTTAGGTCCTTTAGGGGTTTAGGGTTTAGGGTTTAGGTCCTTTGGGGTTTAGGGTTCTATTGGGGTTTAGGGCTTCGGGCTCTATCAGGGTTTAGGGTTTAGGGGTTCTATTAGGGTTTAGGGCTTAGGGCTCTATGAGGGTCAGAGTTTAGGGGTTCTATTGGGGTTCAGGGCTTAGGGCTCTATCAGGGTTTAGGGTTTAGGGTTCTATTAGGGTTTAGGGCTTAGGGCTCTATCAGGGCTTAGGGTTTAGGGTTCTATTAAGGTTTAGGGTTGAGGGCTTAGGGTTCTATCAGGGAGGGTGTAGGGTTCTATTGGGGTTTAGGGCTTAGGGCTCTATCAGAGTTTAGGGTTTAGGGTTCTATTAAGGTTTAGGGTTGAGGGCTTAGGTTTCCACCAGGGAGGGTGTAGGGTTCTATCAGGGTTTAGGGTTTAGGGCTTAGGGTTCTATCAGGTTTTAGGGTTCAGGGTTGAAGGGTTCCTTAAAGGGCTCCTTAAAGGGTTGCTAGAAGGGTCTACTCGAAGGGTTTGTTACAGGAAGCTGTGGGGGTTTAAAGGTTCCTCAGGGGGGTTCCTTAAAGAGTTACGAAACGGGTTCTATAAGCGTTTAGGGTAAGAGTTCTACAAGGGGCTTTCGCGGTTTTGGGGCTTAGGGCGTCGGATTTAGTGTTGAGGGTTTGCTTGGCCTTCGGGTTTAGGCTTTAGATCCAAAACCCTAAGCTCGAAACCCCAAAACCCCAAAACCCCTAAACCCCAAAACCCCAAAACCCGTAAACCCCTAAACCCTAGAGCCAAAGAGCCTTGAGCCATAAGAAGTTTTACGCTGAAAGCCTTGAGCTTGGAGGTGTGCGGCCTATTTTGGCGTGCAGCGTGCTTCCAACATGCCAGCTGAAACAGAAGGGGCCTATAGGGTTAGGGTTTAGGGCTTAAGCCCTTCTAGGAACCCTTCAAGGAACCCTTTATGTCAAAACCTTTATGGTATAGACCTATCACAGAACCCGTTAAGGCGCCCTTAAACATTTCTCATACGAGAATACACTACACTGTGCCATAATGTTCCATAATGTATTTCACTATATTTTGCTACGTAAGACGTACAATCTACGACAGTATACCATAACATAGGATAATATACCCTAAACCCTAAACCCTAAAACCCTAAACCCTATTGTAGTAGATTGTTAGCAGAATTGTTTGGTGCAACTTTTTGTTGCAGCTTCCCTCCATTTGCTGGGGCCTCGATGCTGGGAAGGTGAACATCTTCTCCCAGCCCATCCCAGCGAGGTGGGGAACCCTTGGGGGTTTAGGGTTTCGGTTTTGGGGTTTAGGGTTTAGGGTCTGGGGTTTTGGGGTTTAGGGTTTAGGGATTCGGGTTTAGGGTTTAGGAGTTGAGGGGTTTAGGCTTACCATTTAAGGGAAATGGGAAGGGGGTGTACCGGAGTTTTAGGGTAACTAGGCTCTAC